GGGGGATATTTCGTGGGCGTATATTCTGATTAAATCTGCACTGTATCTTATCTCACATAGTTGCCACTTCCTGTGACAGACGACGAAATGCTGTTTTGGGGTTTGGGTGGATGTAAGCCGGACCTTTATTCAGTACAGGTTGCTATAACTTTGCACTTGAAAATTATGACAATGCACTTGAAATTCTCCTAAAACTGATTAACTTGGAACATATCTCAAATGAAAATCAACTTTTATTAGCACGTACAAGAGATAATGTTGGTAGTACATGTTATAAACAAGAAATGTATGGAAGAGCATTAGAAGAACATGATTATGCCCGAAAACTGAGAGAAGAATTTTCATCAGATGATTTTGAATCCATTGTTAAATCATACAGTAATATTGCACTTGATCATCTTGAAATTGATAAAAAGTATTTTCCATTAGCACTGGAAAACTGTAAAAAAGCACTGAAAATTGCTAATGAAAAACATTTAGCTGCACTTCATCCTGCTTGCGCGTGGGCTGAGATCAGTTACGGAAAATATTATTTTAAAACAGGAAAATATGATGAAGCAATAGAAAAATACCAGAGAGCCCTAAATATCTTTGAAAAAGCGTTACTAAACGGTCATCCTGATGTGGCATTTGCACATCTATGTCTTGGGCAATATTATTTTAAAACTAAGAACTATCCTGAAGCTCTCCAAAGCGATAAGAAAGCTCTTGCTATTTATACGCAACAAATAATTCAAAATGATCAAGATATCAAAAACTGTATGTATTATATTGAACAAGCAGAAAACATGCAGTAGGTATCATGATGAGAACTGGTTTCAGGGTTACTGGTATTTTCGAGAAGCGGCAGAAATGTACGAATGTTTCACTTTATACATTTCAAAACAATTAAATCATTTTAAGTCTCATATGTTTCCTCGTCTTTTTGTAAAAGAGAACGCTATCTTTCTGCAATTAAAAGTAAGCTCGCACCTGGCAACATGTCTCTATACTGTACTCGAGCTACTTATGGCTATTTTATTCATAAATGTATGATTATAAGCAGCCGGCAGGAAAGGTAGTTGTTTTACAGATAATGCCGCCTATCTCGGTAACGGAAAAGACCTGAGCAGAGATATTTTCGAATTAGTCATGTCCTTATGCTAATAAGTAACTTCCAAAAAAGACTTTTCTTCAACTCGTCTGCAAAGAATCTCCAGCCAAATCTATTTCGATTCGATATGTATATAAATCGCTTTCTAACGATAAAAGATTCTCATTAGCGCTATCGTTGTATTCATATGGAGTCGAAATAGATTTGGCTGGAGTTTTTTTGTAGACGAGTTGAAGAAAAATCTTTTTTGCAAGTTACTTATTAGCATAAGGACATGACTAATTCGAAAATATTTCTACTCAGGTCTTTTCCGTTACCGAGATAAGAGGCATTATTTCATAAAAACTGGCTCTTATTGCTTCAAAGGCAAGATTTTTTTGTGAAATTGATTATTTTAGGCAGCTGTAGCTTTGTACTTAGATCCTCTGGCAGTTGTAATTTTATAAAAACGTCTTCCGTGGCGAGAGCGCGCAAATTTTCAAAATTTTGGACTTTTTCCACCTTTAACCACGTCAGACTTCTGATTTTTTTCACGATTTCCACCAATGAAAAGTAAGCTCGCGCCTAGCAACATGTCTCTACATAATAATTTTATATGGTACCAATAAGTCAGCTATCCGTAAGATCATTTTTTCAATTAGCAGAACACTATTATCTAATCCTCCATCCTGAACTAGCTCATTCCAATCCAATTCTGCTGATTTATCACGAAAAACATCCCGATTTGCTCTTCTATAACCATAGATCTTTCTACTATATTGCGTGACAGGCAGTTGAGCTATATTGATACTGAATTTAACTACATTTTGATCGCATGTATCAATTTGTCATCGGCGTTGGTTGATACGTTTTCGCAAATTTATGAATAGCAATAAGATGAGTTATATGTTGAGAAAAATATTCACGGCTCAGCTCGACCATAGCTGGCTGAGTAACCGAACTATCAGTGATACTGAACATAATATTTCCAATAAGTTGTTCATAACACAGAAAAGTGGGTCTTAATTCTCGTATGAAGAATTAGATCTTGCTGAGTTTTCATTGTATAAACGATTAAGTCACTGTTATGATAATTATCGCTGATGACAAATTGATACATGCGATCAAAATGTAGTTAAATTCAGTAT